GCTATCCCAGGACATAGCAGAGAGCTGGATAGGAAAGGAGCAGCCGGGACTAGAACCAGCGCCCATATGGGATGCTGGTGCTTCAGGCCAGGGCTTTAACCCACTGTGCCACAGTGCTGGCCCCAAGACCTAAATTCTTATAGACCAAGAATTATTATATAATCTTTCTCCTTTTTATTTGGAACTATGGAAATATCTGTACTCAGACCACCAGAGAGGTATTAATGTAGTCCTGTCAGATGGGTTTCTTATATCAAAAGACCAAACTTTGGAGGTGGGAATTTGGTCTACCAGTTAGGATACCTACACTGGGCATCCAAGAAAGTAGTCCTGGCTTTGACTCCTGATTCTAGCTGTCTGCTAATGCAGACTTTGGAAGGCAGAAGATGATGCCTAAAGTGGTTGGATCTCTGCCACCAATATGGGAGACCTGGGTTCGGTTCTTGATTCCTGGCTTTGGTTTATCACAGCCCAAAATTTGGGGAGTGAACCAGTGGATGGGAATTCTTTTTCTGCCCATCTGCCACTCAAATTTTTAAAAATGTTGAAATTCAACAAACATATAAATGAAACTTCTTTTGAAGAATATGAGAATTAAGATTAAAAGAGAAGTAAATCAAAACCAGAAAGGATAACTACAATTAAGGAAAAAAAACCTTAAAATGGCCAATTTCTTTTATTCTTACTATTCAATTTTCCCAATTTTTTTGGTAACACATGTATCCCTGCAGGTGAGGCACCTCTGAGTGGATGTCTTTTTTGCTCTGTTCTCTCTCTTTCTGTATGTATATATCTATATATATCTATATATATATATCTCCAGAAGTTACTGTGACTCTGTGTTTGATAATCTGCTATAATGGCATTCTTGTGGTAAGGCTCTTTCCCTTGATGGAAAGTAATGAGACCACGTTTGTTCCTTTTTCACTTTTGATTTGGAAGATGCAGATGCAGGTGTTCCTGAGACTCCTTCTCACTGGCTCTGTATTTCAAAGCAGTCTATCAAATTTAAGTATCAATTTTTCAATTTTGTTAAAATGATTTTGACATTCAAATGCGTGGCAAACACTTATATCTTGTCTTATCAAAGATTTAATTTTTTTAAAAAGGACCTTATTGGTGTAAAAATATAAAGAAGCAAATATATTAATGGGTTAAAATTGTACTTTGTTATTTTTTCTTTTACGATTGTGTACAGTGATAATTCCTGGATTTCAGAGAGAAGAATCTTTCCTTTTTTATTTTATATATTTTTCTTGCTTGCTGGTGTTGTTTATTTACTTACTTGAGATGCAGAGAGATGGAGAAGGAGAGGAAGAGTGAGATGGAGAAGGTGAGGGAGAAGGAGAGGGAGAGGGAGAGGGAGAGGGAGAGGGAGAGGGAGAGGGAGAGGGTGAGGGAGAGGGAGAGGGAGAGGGAGAAGGAGAAGGAGAAGGAGAAGGAGAAGGAGAAGGAGAAGGAGAAGGAGAAGGAGAAGGAGAGAGAGAGTCTCCACCAGCCATTTCCCTACCCAAATACCCACAAAGGGCAGGACTGAGCCAACAGTAAGCCCTGAGCTAGGAACTTCATACAGATCTCCTACATGGGTGGCAGAAACCTAGTTACTTGAGCCATCACTGGGGCATTTCAGGGTCTGCATTAGCAGGAAGTTAGAATCAGGAGCTGGAGGTTGATATTGAATCCAGGTGCTCTGCTCTGGGACTTGTGCATCCTAGCCACTGTCTTAATTGCCAGGCCAAACACTGATCTCACTGGTGTTTTAGTAATATATTCCTCATGTTCTTCCCCCTCAGAACTCTCTGTGTATATATTCTTTTTGCTTTCTAATATATTCTTTACCAGATACCATATGGCTACTTTCTAGAGCGTAGGCTGTAAGTTTTTATTAAACTCACTTTTTCTGCTACATTATTATAAATAACCACAACAAAAAAGTTATAGGAATTTCCTGTGTCCCCAGTGAACAAAATATCAGCTAGGTTGTGCTGTGCAACAAAAGTGTTGAAAGTTCCTGTGTCTTAAAAACAAGATTTTTTTAAATGAGTTCATTTTTCATTATTTTACAAAGAAATACCCAAGACTTTTATAAAATACACACAGGTTGGAGAGTTCAAGGGCATGGTAACAGTTTTTACTCGGCTCTGGTGAGGGCCCTCTTGCCTGCATCGTATCATGACAGATGGCATCATGGTGGGAGCATGAGTGGGAGTAAGGCATTGCCTCGCCAGACACCAAGCCAGAGAGTGACTCAGGCATCAGGCTTACTCTTTTAACAACTTGCTGTCCTGAGAGCAAACCCAGGGGCCCACAAGAACCGTAATCTTTTCTGAAGGCATGACCCCCAGCAAGATCTAGTGACCTCCCCCTCGACCCCATCTCCTGAAGTTCCCACTCTCTCAGCAGTGCCACTCCTCCGGCCAAATCACATGCAAACCATAGCCATTTCATTCTCCTCCATAGTCCTTTTCCGTCACACATTGGCAGAGGAGTTCTCATTGAAATTACTCCGAGCATTGTATTGATGTTGTAACTGCCATCTTGAACATTTTCAGGCTAATACAAAAAGTGAAAGAGAGCTGCAAGGGGTCCTGAATTAGAAATGAAACATTCTTTCCTATAAGTGACACACTCATTTATATTTGCAACACATTGGAAGAAATTAGTCACATATTCCTTCAAAACCAAATGTGATTCAGGAAGCATATGTGCCTTCCGCTCAGTGGCCCAGTACTGAATGAAGTACTATGGCAGAGACATCACCGTGGTTCCTTGATCTTCACTGTATGTTGTAGATCACAGATTGAGGGGTGATGAGAAGCTTGGCTTCATTCAGTGACTATGAAGATGATTGGTGTATGACAGGATTTGCCATATAGCCATATAAGCCTCGCTATGGACTTGGACGATCAACTTGGGTTCCAAGTACTCACCTTTTTTCTGGTTCAGAGCTAAGTGTAGAGTCTTGGATTTGAAATCTTAAATTTACTGTTCGTTGCCAGTGTCTTCATTGGAGTATTATGTCATTCTCAACATTAATTTCTTCGTTTTTAAAGGTGGGGATGGGGATAACAGTAAATATTATATTTACTGTTCACCTTTTCCCACACCCTGACAAAATGTGTTCAGTAGGAGGGAAGGAGTTTTGGTTAGATTTCGTCACTGACCAATTTGTTAGTTCTTAGAACATTGCCTTGTATAAACTGGTACATAATTTTTGATGAACAGATAAATGTAAGTAGAGGATTTTTGGCAACAAATGAGATCATATATCTGAGATCCTTTACATAGAGACTGGTACATATTTAGGTTCAATAAACAATAGCTATTAGTTTTACAATTCTGGAAGAAAGTTTATCGATAAGTCAAGGTTTGTAGATAATAGGGGAAAACTTTTCTAGGTCGTTTATAGCAACATGTATTGTACAGAAGAGCCACAGACAGAGAAAACTTGTAGATCTGTAGGTCCAAACTGACATGAAATTAAGTACATTTTCTCCTAGAGAACTTTTCCTACTTGGGAACATTCTTAGGATTGTTACTGCTTTGTAACTGACTGGCATAATTGTCATTTTTCTAGGGGTCAGGACAAGCTGGAAAATCTCTGCAACTGTTGGGACTTCTTTAGGGGACTGGGATTAAAACCTAGAGTACTGAGTTGATACTTCTTCCTTCAGTCATCCATCCACTCATCCATCTGATTCAATAAATATTTATTGAGTCCCTACTTTGTGTTGGGGAGTAAAATTTCCCTCCAAAATTTCTTCTTATTGGTATTTTATTTTCTCATGGAGTAGCAGAGGTATTGATTTCAGTATCACAAGTAATGGTAATTAAAGATCCATAGGTCAGATTACAACAGGACCCTTCTGGTCACTAGAGTGTTATGTTATGTGATATAGCACATTCTTTGATGATAGATTTTGTATAGTTCTGTGGTTAAACTAAATTGAACTAGGGAGCCCCTAAACAATCTAGCAAAGATGGGGTGATTAATATGCCAGCTCTCCAGTTGCCATCATCTTTAGAAAAGGGTCCATCCCTGTTTACCCCCATACTAAATGTTTGGTGCTAAGTATACTTCATTGTCATTTCATAAATTTAAAACTTGAGGAATTTTAGGAATGCATTTCTCCTTTTTGTTATAAATATTTGTAGATGATTTGGCACAAATACAAAAAATTCTCTACTGTTTATTTATGACACTTTTCTGTTGGGAAACAATAAACTTTCTGGTTCTTAATCTAAGTTGAACTGCAGTGTACCAATAAAACAAGTCACAACATAGAAAGTAAATTTTCTCTGTATAAATAATTAACTCTTTAAGATTTATTGGCCTTTCTTTGTTTCCCCCTTTCTTTGAGTGGTGTAATCCAAATAAAATGTTGCATTTATTCTTGTCTGATAAAATATTCATAAAAGAAACCACTAACTTTGAATTTGGATTAAGAAATTATGAAGAAAACATGATCATGTACGTTGACCCTTGTCTATGTGTGACCTGAAACCCATTAGCTGAAACCAACCATCTGCAGGGAATCTGCTTCACCTTTATTTTTGCTCCTTGGTTCTTGTTAAAACTTTCATTGCCTTTAAACTACTACACAATTATTTTGAAGCAAAGAAAAGCAAGTGGTGAGTATGTTTTCATCATGTATAGGCTATGAGAAGTATGCCAACATAAGGCTAGCAAATCATGTTGATCTGGGAGGCTTTGAAAATAATAAGGGCAATTGGGAAAGAAGATTATTCCTATGCCAGATCAGCACATTTTGTTGTCCTACAAACAAGCTTTAGTACTGAGGTTTTGATCTTTATAGTTCGGTGTTCTTGCCATATGGAGGTAAAATGTTTCTGTATCATGTATCTGTATCCATGCTCAGGGCATGCTTACTGACATGTATCTTGGTTCCATGTGTTCAAATTCATGTGCAAGACAGTAGAGTTGGAGATTCCAAGATGGTGGTTTAGGAAATGACATAGTGTGCTAGGCTAGCAAAAAAAAAAAAAAAAAAAGGGAAAAAAGTGTAGGAAGTGCGCTCTCAGGGAGAACTGAAGAGAAAACTGCACTGGAAATCCTACAAGAGAAAGAGGAATGCTGTGGACCTGTGTGGAGGATGCAGAGGTGCAGCACAAACATGAATGACTGCAGCCGCAAAGAACCAGAGCAGGAGGTATCTTGGCTGCGACTCGGAGATGGAGGTGAGACTGGGCTGCAGGAAACTGAGGTGATATGTAGCCTGAGGGAGGGTGTGACACAAGTCTGGACTGGAGCCCTGGGGGATAGCTGTTGCTAGTGGTTGTCTGCAGACCCAGTGGAAGTAGAGGGAGCACCTTTATCTTGCCCCAACCTCCCCACAACAGCACCTGCTGCCTGGCTGAGAAAGGATGGGTGCCATTTTGGGTTTGGGCAGCAGCTTTGGAAGCCTTTGTGCATGGGCACAGCAACCAGCTGAAACAGGATGCCCTCTTCTTGGCACTACTGGCAGCAGTGGCAGGGGGAGAGCAGCATTTGGCCAGTGGCTCTTATGCATGGGTGTGATTCAGAGACTGTAGCAGAGGGAAAAATCCTCAGCGTTGACTTTGAGCCTGGCTGGGAGGTGGCTGGGAGCCCATGTAGAACTGTAAGGCACCCCAGCCTCCTAGGATCAAGACTCTTAGGTGGAGCTGGCTGGGAGAACATCTGCCTTTTTGTTCACTGGACAGATTGACAGGGCAGAGCCAACCTTCCACACCCAGCGACTGTGAGAGCCTTGTGTGCTGAGACTGTGGGGACTGCATGGTTACATGCGAAGGTGTAAGGTGTAGCTGGGTCCCTGGGCAATCACACTCAGAGCTCCTTGGTTCCTTGGGGCGGGTAATTGCAGCAGGAACTGTACTCACAGTGAGGACTGTGCAGATCATTTGTGCAGATCATGGTGGCACAGATGACTGTTGAACACATGGAGGGCTAACACCTGGGTATTTCTCAGTTTATAAGAGAGGAGGTAAGGGGATGATCACACTCACAGAGGTGACCATTGCCCCATTTCTGTAAACAAGCAGAAACCTCCATGCCCAACTTGGGAGTTACCCTGGATATTCACCCCACCCTTGAACACTGACCAGAGCTACCTGTCCACACCCACCACATACCTCTTGATATTCGTGGAAAGTGCAGATGCTCCACTAAGCTACAGAGGCATAGCTCAAAGATAAAAGGCATTAGAGGAAAAAAAACAAAAAACAAAAATCAACTCTACAAATGCCTAAAAACAAATGCAGAAACTCAAGAAACAAGAATAAGGAAGATACCATGACCTCCCTTCCCCAAAGGAGCACAACATTTTCAGTGTTAGAATGTGAAGGTGAAGAGAATGAAGAAATGCCAAAAATGGAATTAAAATTAATCATAGGATTACCCAAAAGCATTCAGAAGCAAATCCATGAACTAAAGAAAACCATAGATGACATGAATGAAAAATTTTTCCATGAAATTGAGATTTTAAAGTGAAATAAAAATGAAATATTAGAAATGAAAATTCAGTAGATCAAATAAAAAATGCAGTGGAAAGCCTTAACAGTAGACTTGGCGAGACAGAAGAAAGAATATCAGAGCTAGAAAACAAATCTTTGGAAATCTTTCAGTCAGACTGAAAAAAAAAAAAGAAAAATCCAAGAAAAAATTAGAAAACTTAAAAATAGTGTTGGAGGCCGGCGCTGTGGCTCAGTAGGCTAATCCTCCGCCTGCGGCTTTGACACCCCAGGTTCTAGTCCCGGTTGGGGTGCCGGATTCAGTCCCGGTTGCTCCTCTTCCAGTCCAGCTCTCTGCTGTGGCCTGGGAGTGCAGTGGAGGATGGCCCAGGTCCTTGGGCCCTGCACCCCATGGGAGACCAGGAGAAGCACCTGGCTCCTGGCTTCGGATCAACGTGGTGCGCCAGCCGCGGCGGCCATTGGGGGGTGAACCAACAGAAAAGGAGGACCTTTTTCTCTGTCTCTCTCTCTCACTGTCCACTCTGCCTGTCAAAAAAAAAAAAAAAAATGGTGTTGGAGATATATGGGTCAAATGACCCAACATATGGGTCTTAGGAGTTCCTGAAGGTGTGGAAAGAGATAATGAACTAGAAGGCCTATTTAGGGAAACAATCACAGGAAAGTTTCCCAATTTGGAGAGAGGGACATCTAAGTAGAGGAAGCACATAGAACTCCTAACAGGCATGACCAGAAAAACTCTTCACCACGTCACCTTGTAGTCAAACTTTCCACAGTAAAACATACAGAAAAGTTCCTAAAAATGACAGTAGGTTGGCTGTGTCATAGGCTGGAGGGTTCAAGCAGGATCAAAGGCATTCTGGAGCTGAGCTATGAATCTGATTTTGCTTTAGGATCAGCGCTCTAGTGATCATTCTAAAAATTCCCAAGTCTGTAATGATGGACAGCAAGTATTCTTAAGAGAGGTGATCTCTGACTCCCTTTTTACCTTGCAGAGAAGCTTTTAATGAATTATTACCTAAATAATTGCTTTGTTAATCTTTCAGATATGTCCTTTCTGGGGAACAAATAAATCTTTGTGCCTTGGCTCATTCTGTAATAAAATACCTCAGTGGTGAAACCACCTTTGTCTACAAGGGAAAGCCTCTCCTTGGAGTCACTGCATCATTTCTGTTTGGTGACAGAATTATCCCTGCATGGTGTTACATGCAGGTTTTAGTGAGTAGTGGAGAAATTACCTATTTTTTTTAAAGATTTTATTTATTTGAGAGGTAGGGTTACAGACAGACAGAAGGAGAGACAGAGAAAAAAAGTCTTCCATCCACTGGTTCACTCCCCAAATGGCCGTGATGGCCAGAGCTCAGCTGGTCAGAAGCCAGAAACCAGGAGCTTCTTCCGGATCTCCCATGTGTGTGCAAGGGTCCAAGCACTTGGGTCATCTTCTGCTGCTTTCCCAGGCCATAGCAGAGAGCTAGGTAGGAAGAGGAGCAGCCAGGACATGAACTGGCACCACAGGTGGAGGCTTAGCCCACTGTGCCACAGTGCCAGCCCCAAGAAATGACTTACCAAGAGAACCCTTGAATAGTTTATTTTGAACTCATGCTGTTTTCATTTTTTTTCATGTGAAAAATGTGTCTTGTTTTGCAAAATAATGGTGAAAATGGAAAGTAACAAAATAAAGTTTGTAACCATGCAGTTTCCTTTTTTTTTTTTTTTTTTTTTTTTTTTGCTTGAAAAGTTCAATTCACAGCCTTTGAATGTCTAGGGCACCATCAGTTGGACAACATTAACCCCTTGTCCTGAGTGTAGTCAGACTTCTCTCTCTTATTCTGTGAGTTGATTTTCTTGGTGAAGCTCCATACCATTCGGAATTGTACAGGCTAGGGTTCTTTTATAGTGTTAGCTTAAAAACTGAATTAAATTAGATTAGAACAGCAAGCCCAAAGAGGATCTGAACCAACAGGAACTGACATGGTCTTGGTAGTTGAAGTGTCAGCATTTGACTGCCTGGTTGTGGGATAGACACATTTTAGTGTTAGCGTCAGGGTTTTGAGTAACTCTTGTTTTCTGACATGACGAGTCCGTCCTGTGTATTTCAAGATACTTTTCCTCTCTGTATTAAACAGTGGTTGAGCATTATTTGATGAATTGCTTCATTCTAAGAAAGGATTGCACTTACTGGTTAGGCTTAGTAAGCACTGCAAAAAGACGTAAGATTCTGTGGAAGTGTGTACATTATATATTTTTAAATATGTATCTAATGAGGAAATTTAGAAACAAATGAAGAGTTAATTTTAGTCCTCAGAAGTGACAATTGTTAATATTTTGTTGCATATCTTTTTGTATGACTATATGTTCTCTGTGTACATATAGTCATAAACATGAGAGCAAGTTGTATATGACATTTTGTAATCAGGCAGACTATTGCTATTTAACAGCATGCAGTGAATATTTATTTGTATCATTTAGCAGTCTCCAGCTGTCTTATTTTTAATGGCTGTGTAATACTCTGTTTTATGATCCCGTCTTGTTGGATATTTAGTTTGTCTACAATGTTTCGTGCCTGCAAAAAATGCTTTGATGAGAATGCTGACTCTTTTCTTTGATTTTTTCTCCCTTAGGATGGTTTCCAAGAAGTAGAATTCATTCCTGCTTCTGAGTCAATGGATATAAATATGTCCAAGACCTGAAGAAAGATTTGAACATTTACAAGAGGGTACAATAAAAGTAAGATACTGTTTTTGAGACACATGAATCACAATCTAGATTAAATGATTGACCAGAAAGCATTGATATTTTCTGGTGGAACTCCTGGGAGTCTAAGAAAAGGAGTAATGTGAAGGAAGAATAAAGAACTGAGCTACAACTGATATCAGTGGGACAGATAGGAATATGAGAGAGAACAAAAGTATTGATTTGCTAGTCCTTCAATGAGGTTGAAAACTTGACAAAGATGATCACACCTGGTAGTACTGTCTATACTGATGAATTAAGAGCTACTCCAGAATAAAGAGAGTAACACAACAAAGTGGACACAATATTAGTCACATAGTATTGACTACATGACATTAAGCTTATATACACTTAAATTCCGGTTTCCAAATGCTGAGATTTTATGTTTCACAAACTATACAAAGTAGAATATTGTAGTGTTTGTGGACGTTAACGTTGAGTTCAGTAGATGATGGTTTTATTAAAGAGGTAACTAGATAAAATGCATGTCGAATATCAGATATCATGTAATTTATGTCTTATTTTGTTGTGCTGTTTTAACCTGCAGTTTTTCTACCTCCACCTTAACTGGTGAAACATGATAGACTCAAACCTGCTGTGTAAGCATCATTCCACTGTTTACTGCTCGATATGCAATCTGATCACACCTCTAGCTCTGTTCACTGTAGCCATGGCTTTCAATTAAATTACCAGACTGACATAAATCTGATTTTGGACTGAATTTCATGTGTTTAAAATACTAAACCACTATTTACCAATCCCAAATGAGAAATAATCAAGTAATTCAAAGAGCAGTACAAATACTTATATTTAACTCTAGATAGAGCCAAATTAAATAGAAGTACTTCTTTATAAAAAATGTGTGTAAACATAGCTCAACATTATTTACTCTGCTTTATTCAATAAAAGAGGAGAAAAGTTATCATAATTTATTTTAAACACCTTTGAGACATTATAAAATTTCAAAACTAAACTATCACCTACTTGACCCAAACTCCCCAAAAACAGCATCTCCTTTTATGCTTTGCTAGATTATCAGGAATGATAAATTGCCCACTCACTTGTCCATCAAGCTCAGTATCCTATGCTGTCTCTCTTGGCTATTAGTTTACAGGCATCCCATTTTGAAAAGGCTGTGTACATGGCAAGGTCTGGTACTGAGTTTGGTTGTCTTGTTTTCCAGTTTCCTGGTACAAATAAATATTTGAAATTTGCTTGTTGAACACATGCTACATATGGAAGTTTGTAATTTATTAAACTATCAAGCAATCTAAAGTTATTGATAAAGGTATTCTCCACTTAAGGAATGGAGACTATAAAGGAAAAAGTACAACATTTCCGAAAGCATATGAAGGAATTGTACTGTTTTGTCTGATAGTCACACCAGCAGCATCACGTCTTTCAGGGCTGCCAGTGCACATAAAGACGGAGCTTTATGGGATATCACATGAACTCTGAACTCTCTTGTCCCAGAAGTCATACATGTTACTTTCACACTCAGCTCACTGGTCAGAAGTGGTCACGGGACTTTAACTAGACCGAAAGCCAGAATGGGAAATCAGTCAGTGTGCCCAGGAATGGTAAGTTCTGGAATTGGTGAACACTTATATCTTCAAACACCAAAAAAGAAACTTTAAATAAATTAAAATTTTAAATTGTAAGTGTGATAAATGTCCTTTTTGTCAAAAATACAAGCAGAATAAAATAAAATAACATGATTTATAAAATCCTTTCCCTAATTCAAATATCCTGATATACCCACTTCTAAAATTTTTTGTGTCATTCTGGGAGGCATGTATTTTAATTATATACATAAGTGAGTATTGTACATGAACAAATAATTATGCTATAGGTGATATTAAAACAAGATTATAATATACCTATTTTTCTGTAACTTTCCTTATTTGGAGAGTTTATATAATGAGCAACTTTGCCTATGAACATATATGAATATATCTCACTATTTTTAATGACATATAACTTCAAGAACTTCAAAGTTTTCCATTTTAAAATTTATTTGAAAGTATGTGTATGAGGCCGGCGCCGTGGCTCACTAGGCTAATCCTCCACCTTGTGGCGCCGGCACACTGGGTTCTAGTCCCGGTTGGGGTGCCAAATTCTGTCCCGGTTGCCCCTCTTCCAGGCCAACTCTCTGCTGTGGCCAGGGAGTGCAGTGGAGGATGGACCAAGTCCTTGGGCCCTGCACCCCATGGGAGACCAGGATAAGTACCTGGCTCCTGCCATCGGATCAGCGTGGTGCGCCGGCCACAGCGCGCTGGCCGCGGCGGCCATTGGAGGGTGAACCAATGGCAAAAGGAAGATCTTTCTCTCTGTCTCTCTCTCTCACTGTCCACTCTGCCTGTCAAAAAAAAAATAAAAATAAAAAAATAAAAAAAATAAAGAAAGTATGTGTATGAGAGAGAGAGATGGAGAAAGAGAGAGAGAGAGAGACCCATCTTCTGGTTCACTCCCTAAATGCCCATAATAGCTGGGGCTGGCTAGGATGAAGCCGGGAGCCAGGAACTCAATCCTGACTTCCATGTGAGTAGCAGAAATTTATGTACTTGAGCTGTCACCTGCTGCTTCCTGGTGTCTGCATTGTCAGGAAGCTGGAACCAGGAGCCAGATCTGGGAGTCAACCCAAGGCACTCTGATGTTGAATGCAAGAGTTTCAACCAGCATCTTAACTGCTAGGCCAAATACCCATCCCAGTTTTCCATTTTTAAAGACATAAAACAGTGTTTGTTCTGATGGCAATGATGATGATGAAGAGGACCAGGAGGAGATGGTGGAAGAAGAGAAAGAAATTGTGATGCATGGTGTTAGTCAAGTAGTGCCATGGGCTGGGCTCTGTGCTAAGCACTTTACAGGCAGTATCCTTTAAAACTCTGGGATGTACAAAGTAGACAATATTGCTAGTATCATTTCACAGAGGAGGAAACTGAGGCATAGTGAGTTTAAGAAGTTTTCCCAAGACCATGTAGCAAAAATAATGATAGAAACAAGATGGAAAAGATATATTGATTCTCCAGAACACGAGTCTAAATTTTGATGTAATTATACCTATGAACTACATTGAATCTGTTCTTTTTGTATTAATATTACCTTAACATGAAAAAGTATCAGATGGTATAAATTTTTTAACACTGTATTATAGCGAAAAGTGCCTACTTCCCTACACCTTCATCAACCTTGAGGTAGTATAAGCATTGCCATCCTGACACATGAAAAGTTCTGTTAAATACTGTGTCAGATGATATTTCCTGCGCTATGAATTGGAACATGACAAGAAGCAGGAAAGGTGCTATACACTTCTGGGAAATTATACTTATTTTGCAAGAATCTCTTGCATTCATACTGTCTGAGAGGAAGGATTTGACCTGATGATTAATTGGTCTTTTCTCTTACTTAATTGTACATGTGTCACTCATTCTAAGTGAGATCCTTTCCAACATCCAACGTCATCATCAACACACTTCTCAACTATTCAGTTACTTTTTGCTTTGAAGATTAAAGGCAGGAAATGGGAAGAAGTATTTCCCTGGATTCTGAAAAGTGTTAATTATGAGAGTAGATATTCAAGGTCAGGGTTAGTAGTATGCTGTAGCTATGAACTGACAGCCACATGGCAAAGTTGTCTGCAAGTCCTTTTTTCCTCTTAGTATAGTGTGTGTGTGTGTGTGGGGGGGGTATGGAGAGAGGTTCTGTAGAACAGACCAAGGCAAAGGCCCATCTTCACAACATCTAATTCAACAATTAGTTATTGAGTATTCACTATTTGCCAGATCCTATGCTAAATGATAGAAATACAGGGAAACCAAAAGAGGTGCTATCTTAATCCTTAAATAACTTGTAAGTTGTTTTGATGTTAGAGATGGAAACTAATTAAATTATCATGCAACCAGAGGTCCACTGAGGGCTAACTGAGTAGTACATGATAGGATAAAAAACTGAATAGTCATGAATGTCTTCTCTGAGAAACTGATGTTTGAGTTAAGATACAAATGGTGAGAAGTAACTAACGAGTGTTTATTTCAGAAAGGATCAGTTTGATCACCTTAAAAGATCTGATTAAAGACAAGGAAAATAGTGTTGGAAACCGTATCCTCATGGTACAAAGGGAGACTATGATGGCTGAGGTTCAGGTGTTGGTGATGAAAATGGACAGGAGACAAATCCAGAAATGTGTAGGAGAGAAAGTCGATAGAGTTTGTTGATGGTTTGGAATGATCAGGGCAAGAGTAGAAACAGAGATCGTTCCAGGTTCTGGGCTTGCCTACCATCCTTGGTGGTTCTATGCTTAGACATGTGGTCACTGGGATAGGTCTGTTTGGACATCATGAGTTTGGTTTTGGGCAGATTGAACATTCAGTGCCTTTGAGACATCATAAAGACAGAAATCTTGTCATGTTCCCTGTTGCCATTCTTTACAGAATTTAAATATCTTATTCATGTAGGCTTTACCCAATGCTGAATGTTATTTTTTATAGTGTTTCATCTGTTTTGTTGTTATAGTTAATAAGATTTCCTCTTGACCCATTACATTCTTTAATGGATATTGTTTCTATAAAAATTTTACTTTTTAAATGAATGTAGCCACGCCGTGGCTTAACAGGCTAATCCTCCGCCTAGCGGCGACGGCACACCAGGTTCTAGTCCTGGTTGGGGTGCCAAATTCTGTCCCAGTTGCCCCTCTTCCAGGCCAGCTCTCTGCTGTGGCCAGGGAGTGCAGTGGAGGATGGCCCAAGTACTTGGGCCCTGCACCCCATGGGAGACCAGGAAAAGCACCTGGCTCCTGGCTCCTGCCATCGGATCAGCGCGGTGCGCCAGCCACAGCGCGCAAGCCGCAGCGGCCATTGGAGGGTGAACCAACAGCAAAGGAAGACCTTTCTCTCTGTCTCTCTCTCACTGTCCACTTTGCCTGTCAATAAAAAAAAAATGAATGTAACTACCTACTTTACTTAGTGCTGAAACTATTCTAGTGGAATATTCTAGACTACTCTAGAATATATTCTAGTGGAGTATTCCACTATTCTAGTGAAATCAATTTCCTGGCTTATTTTGGTTATAGATACTACTATTTGAAATAAAGATAGTTTGCTCTCTTTATTACTTTTTGGTGAAAATACTTTAAAATATTACCATGTCGTTTATTCCCTCTCATAATGTAAGCTCAACATCTGAGTAGCTTCCTCGCCTAGTAAGGCAGTATACAGCTTCTTGAAAGAACAATGTTCCATTCTATTTATTATGAATAAGTCTAAGACTGACATGTTTAACAATTATTTCTTTCAACATTCACAACCTTGCCACCCCATTAAGAAAAATCAAAGGTGAATAATGTATAAAATGTTAATGCTAAAGGAATTTTCATTCATTGAGTCATTTGTAAGTATTTACTGGGGACCTGGTACCTACCAGGAATTGTTGTATATTCTGGGTATATAGCAGTTTAGAAAAGGTAAAGCCCTTGCTTTGAATGATGAAACTTAGGTATCTTTGGAAATTATATACAATAAGCAGGACAAAAATAAATGATTGCTTAGAGAGTAGTAGGTGCTAAGGGTGAAAAATATCAGGGAAGGGGTAATATTAGGTGTCAGGGAAAGATGGTGACAGTTTAGATAGAATAGCAAGTGAAGGCCTCAGTGAGAAGAACAGTTTAGACAAGGAACAGATGAGGGACACAGCATCTGGTCACCTGGGAAGCAATTCCAGGCAGCGGAGCATGTCTCATGCAATGGCAGGACCGAGAGTGGTGCTGGATCATGTGTGCCTCTGGCAGAGAACTGGGGGTGCAATCAGAGTATAGACAGATGTAATGAGTATGAGCAGTGTGGTAGGAGTGGATAATGTAGGGCTTTTTAGAATACAGTAAGGATTTTGGATTTTCTTCTGAGTAATATAGAAGACCATCAGTGGATGACAATGGAAGGAATGACATGGTATGGCGTGGGACTGAGGAGGTCACTCTACCTGATACATTAAGACTGGACTCAGGTGGGCATGCATAGCTTTTAAGAGCTATTTCAATACAGAGGGGATGGTGCTGCGGTGTAGCAGGTAAAGCTGCCGCCTGCAGTGCTGGCATTCCATATGGGCACTGGTTCAAGACCCAGCTGCACCACTTCTGATCTTGCTCTCTGCTATAGCCTGGAAGAGCAGTGTAAGATGGCCTGAGTCCTTGGGCCCTTGCACCTGCTTGGGATACCCAGAAGAAGCTCCTGGCTCCTGGCTTCAAACTGGCTCAGCTCCAGCTATTGGAACCAGCTGGGGAGTGAACCAATGGATGGGAAATCATTCTCTCTGCCTCTGCCTCTCTGTAACTCTGTCTTTAAATAAATAAATATATATATATATATATATATATATAAATCTTAAAACAAAGAACACAAGAGAGAGTGGTGGCATAGGCCAAGTTGGTAGCAGTGGAGGTGGTTAAGAAGTGGTTGGATTCTGAACATATTTTGAAGGAAAAATTAATCGTATATCCCAATTAATCAGATGAGAGGTTAGAGGGAAACAGGTACACTAATGATGCACCAAGATTTCTGGCCTGGAACTGCCCTTAACAGAGATGGAAAGGCAGTGGGAGGAATAGTGCTTTTATACTGAAGAGAGTTGGTTATTAGGAGCTACAGTTACAATAGGATTTTAAGGCTAGTAGATGAGTCTTGCAGAGACTTGCCCTTCTATTCCTCTCAGTTCTGATCCATAAGACTCTTAAGTTTGGCAATCCCCTGATGAATGGGTGGTTTTTTGAGGGAAATGGCAAATGGGCAGGGGTAAGGAAAGAGCCTGGCTACCTACTTCTGTGGAAAAGAATTAGCTATCTTTGCTTACTAATAGTATTTATTGCTGAATTATAGGATGTATTATAATTCATAGATAAACCCTTTGTTTATCCTCTTTTATCCTCTATGTTACTTACCTATTTAACAAATACTTTGCAATATCTCATCTCAGTCAATTTCAATGCCAGGAATTGGGATTAGAAAGAAGTATAAGATTTGGTTCTTGCACTAAACCAGTTCTTAGACTGGAGGGCAGATATACATAAATAAGTGATGAAACTTGTTATTACAGGAGGGTGGTCCCAACCTTTGACTTTAAAGAATAGGGGTGAAGACTTGTAATGTTAGCTGGGCTTCTTGGTGATTTAATTCTGGGATTCTGTTTTATTTGTATTATTTTCCTTTATGAATCAGGGGTTTAGCTACTAATATTGCAGGGCATTGTATCATAAGACTCTTTGTTGCCTGAGCTGAATTTCCTTCAGGACTTGCAAAATCTTGGGTCATGGGATTCCAACCTAAGATTTAAAAAAAAAGTTCAAAGTTTCTGTTCCTTGTTTGTAATTCTCCTAAACACAATTATCTAACTTCTTCTCTAAGTACCGTGACAAAGCAAAGTTTTTTCAAGAGAGGTGCAATGTCCAAACTGAAGGTGCCCTTTTCGTTCTTTGTAACCAGGTGTTGGGAAGAAGCAGGAGCAGCAATATTTAGCAGTGAACAGTTCAAGGCAAATTTCTACTGATGGTGATGAGTTGAAGACACCTGTGTCTACTGTACTTTAGAAATCTTTACTTAATATATACTAAATTGATCTTCTGTATATAAAGATAATTGAAAATGAATCTTGATGTGAATGGAATGGGAGAGGGAGCGGGAGATGGGAGGGTTGCGGGTGGGAGGGAAGTTTGGGGGGGGGAAGCCTCTGTAATCCAAAAACTGTACTTTGGAAATTTATATTTATTAAATAAAAGTTAAAAAATAAATAAAATGCTTTCCAAATCTCAAAAAAAAAAAAAAAAAAAGAAAGATTCTAATGAGCACCATCATTCCTTTCATGAAGTGTGCATTTGATTCCACAGACAAATATCATATGTTTTCTCTGGTGTGTGGGAGTTAATATAGAATGTAAAACAATGTATAGGGATGAAATGGATATCTTGTGATTTTATTGTGGAAGTATGGTATTTCTACTTTTTACTTGTTGATTATTGTGGTAGTGGCACATTAAGCCTGTGGTAATTGAGTGAACTGATATTATGTGTTTGCAAAAATTTAAGAAGAAAGAAAGGAAAGAAGGAGGGAGATCGAGGGAGAGAGAGAAAGATGGAGAGAAGTAGTATTGTTTTCTTAGAATTGTACCTTTGAAATACATGAAATATGTTCTCTTTATATTAATAATTTTTTCTTAAATATGAACTTCCCTCTTCTGTTTCTGTTATAGATGAGAGATCCAATAAGGGTCAGTAGACTTGCTGTTGGGTGTCATGGGGGGTGGTTATCACCTTCATGCCTTCTGTCGAAAGATACTACTTGAAAGAGATAAAGCATCCTTCTATCTTTAATTGCAGTTCTATCAATTGCACAAAGGACAGCTCACACAATTACCTTCCACATCTAAAATTGTTCTTAGACTTATTTTCTTTTCAAGTGTTGATTTCTGAAAAATGAAACTAGAAGGTAGAGAGAAGAAGGAAAGATATGGCATCGAGTAAACTGATGAAGTGAGACTTTTTAATTTGTTTGTATAACAAATAATTGCTTTTTATTTTCCCAGTACATTGAAGAGTCATTTTGTGTGGTTGATTTGTGAGGACTAAGAATTAACTTTGTGTGTGGAGCAGGTTAGAGGAGACTTCACCCTTCTGAGTTTGTGGTTGGGGAAGTGTGACTTTGCTTCAGCGCTCCACCACCCTTACGGAGCCCACACCCCTGTAGCTACCAAGAATTATAGAAGTAGTGGCTTAATGTTCTTCCTATCAAAAGTTCTCCTCCCACCACCTCACCATCTGGAGCTAACCTATGACTTCTGCTATATTACTCAATGTATCTCTCTTGGCTAGAGTCACCTAATTTGTTTGTGATTACTGCTAATGAAATAATTATGTATTTGGTAGCAAATAAGCTTCTTAGAACACTGAAGAGGACAAAAAAGGTGACATCAAGAAATCAGCTGTTTTAAAATGTATCATGTTATAAACTTGTGATATATTGTAAACTAAACCAAATCTTGTTTGCCCCTGGACTACTTTTTCAGTAAATTCATTATAAAATTTTTAAGTTTTATTTACAATTCTTAATTTTGATGTATTTAAAAGTATGTATACAGTCTATTTTATTTAATAAGTACTTGTTAAGCCTTATGTGCCGGATATTATGCTGGATAGGGGGTAACACATATAACTGAGACCTAGAACTTGTCCTTATGGAATTCATATTTCAGTGGAGAACATGGATGTGTAATAATAACAACTGTCATAAAAGTCATCTTTTATGCACCAGACATGCTGCTGGAAAATTTTTTGTGTATTTAATCATACTTTTGCAAGACTTGAATTATTTTCCACAGTTAACAGATGAGAAAATTGATGTTTATGAAGGTCTAGTCACCTGCTCAAGGTGACAGATAGTAAATAATAATAGTCTGATATTTGGATTTTAACGTTTTATGACTCATAACCTTATTATGAGCACCACTTTCTAGTATGAAGAAAATCCAAACCTTTATAGCAATCTGAAATACCCTGATGCATTTTTGTTTCTATTTAGATGCCATTAATTAAGAGAGCAATTTCTACAGAGTATACTTATAATATGTTTTTGATTATCATTTAATAAGGAAAATAAATTAACTTGGGTTGCTCCATTTTCCAGAAAATCAAGGTGGGAGAGTAAAATAATACTGTGTTTTTTGCAAGCAAGCAAATTTAAAAAACAATATTGTCTTCTCTAGGGCAGTCACGTTTGAGAGACTACATTTCGTCCATTGATATTTGTTAGTGTTCAGAATGCTTTTGTGCATCCTTTTTTGAAATTTACTTTGGGGTTTTTATTCCTTACAGTTATTTATTATTTAACAAGTAAAAGACTTGATCAATGTATCAGCAGACTTGGCTCCAGATAAAATTTGGACATTTAATAAAATCAAATCCTCCCTGTAAAGAGGACAACTTGCCACATGCGACATTTACAATATGAGGGAGGCTCTCATAGCAATTCCACAAAAATTTCTTGAGTAAACAATAGCATCAACGTGCAGTTTCCCAGTTGCAACTTGGCAATGGATACCAGTTGCTTATTGGCTTGAGAGCTTATATTTTTAATAAATAATTACTTTGTAGTGCTGTATCATCTAGGCATATTCACTGCTATGAACTAACAACTTGAAGAGTTGTGTGTGTGTGTGTGTGTGCATGTGCGTGTGTCTTTGTGTTGCTTCACTTTTCTTTAATCCTTTTCCTTGGAGACAAAAACAGCCATTTCAAGGAATACCTTCTAAAGATCAGAATCCACTTTAAGAAAAGAGGAGGGAGTGAATGAGAGTGAGAGCAACAGAGGGAGAAAGAAGTCATCAAAATGAGGAAGTGATTCCTTTAATTATCAGAAACAGGAGCAAAGTAACAATGGCTGAAATTCACCTCCCCGTGGGGAATGAATCATCAAAATAACCGGTGGAAAACAAGGTTGTGCAACCTTGACCAGCGTGTGTCACCGGCTGGCGGAATTTTTAGAAAGGCAGCAGTTTGGGTTCATCACTGTGGTTCGTGATTGCACACACCTGTTTGGGGCATGGATTTTGCAACCCCCCAAAAAGGGGAAACTGAACTTGCTGCTCCTCCTGAGCTGTGCAAAAAAGCAGAAAACCACAGCTGCTGGAGCAGTTAACAGATATCAGTAAAATACCCATGTTACATAATTAAGGATAACGTTCTTGAAGCATATGGGCCAGAGGTATTATACTCTCATTAAAACTTTAGGTAGCACACAATTTAGCACATTCTCATACATTTCTAGGGTTGAATTCTATAATAAATGCTTGTAATTAGACATGCTCTAAACAGCTTATTAAATAATACATGAAGAAAATGGTTGATGAAATATAGATGGTTCTGAAGTTTACATTCAAGTGACATAGAAGCATGGAGATGAGACAAGAAAGATTTCTGCTCATTGATTTGATAACAAGTCACTTTGGGCAGCTTAAATAAGGCTGGAAGAGGTTTCATTTGTTATCCCAGCCTGCTAGTTATCTTAAAGAAACAGGAATTGATGACTTTGGATTTTTTCTTTTCTTTTTAACCACGTTATACATGTATATAGAAGTCTTCATTGAACTACTACTGAATAGAAAGAAGTGCTTTCGATTAGAGCAAAACAAGAAAGTCATGCACTTGATTTTAACAGAGGTAGGTTAACTTTATAGCGAATGATAGGAATGGATACAGCCAAATATGACCCAAATTAGCCTTTTAAATATTTGCCCTAGCTGAGAGGTTACTTATAAATTGCAGAGGAATAAGAAGTCCCTTGAGACTCACCAAGGCAGGTGTTTGTTCCCTAGGGAAAGGGTAGGAAACATGCCCCTAAAATGATATTAGATGAGGAAAGAAATCTTTTCATTCTGCATCTCTGCTTCTTATTCAAGCCAGGTCATTAACTGTCATCAGTTCTTACCTGAAGTGAAGAATGTGTGACCTGTGGAAAATGAACCTGGACAACCTCTCCCAGGAGGTCCAAATGGAAGGATGACCACTTTCTTACGCCATTAAGGTCATTTAGATATTTTCTTTCCCAATGCACACAAATAAGAAAACTGGTAACAGAACAAGCATGAAATTTGGAATGGCTTCTAGAATATACTTGGGGAAACTGGCAAGGTTCACCTAGCTTTCACTGATTTGTCTGGTTAGTAGGTAAATGGGGCTGCCAGTCTGGCAATTTGCATTGGCAATAAATCACCACTAGACATTTTATTTAAAAATTGGCACCGGCTTGGAGGAGGTAAGGGATTGTCAACTCGCTTTTGTTTTGAGGCCAGACACAGTCATAACACACAAAAGCCACCTGGAAACTTCAGCCCACATGGAGAATCGTGGCTTAGATCTCTGCGGCTATATTTTTGCATGCATGGCGATTGCAGAGCTAAATCAGAATCTAAAGATCCTGACCAGAAAGAGCCCTACAAACTATCGTAGCCTGGAGATATCCTGATGGAAACCAGGCTGGTTCTAGATGCTTTAGGAAGGGCATTATAGAAATGATATAACAGAGAAAACTGGTGGCTTTATCTTTTAATGGGTGGGTACTCCCAGAGTCTATCAGAGCCCAAGAGTTGCTCACGGTCAAAATCACACCAACATTAAAGAATTGAGTAGCTTTCTCTTCTTTTCTGCCTTATTTTGTTTGGAAGTTCACTTTCAGGTGTCTGGTATGTTGAGTCATAGTTTCGAGAGAACAAAATACACTGAAATAAGGGATGATGTGTCCACGGTCCTTATATCAATAATGACAAATATCATTTCTTTGAAAATGGGTGGAATGAAAAGATGCTAAGATTGAGAGAAGAAAAAGTGTTCCTCTAATGGAAACAGTTGAGAGGAATTCCCTTGCTTTTATCTGTTTCATGATTCCTCAATTATTTCTCAAAAAAATTATTTCACAATATCTTTGAACAAATTTTTGGGCTTATCCATTTGAAGAATGTGGTGGTTTTTGTGTTAGGAAAATTATATTACACAAAATTTTATTTAACAAATCACCAGCATTTTGTCTTATGATATTTACAAATCTTAATTGTACTCTATATTTTTGCCAAGCAAACTATTAGAAAATACTTGGTTACAATAGAGCTGTACTAACTTAACCATAGCCTCATAATTAAGTTTGTTCA